AAGTGCTGCAAATCTTCCACGCATCCTTGAAGATGGTGGGCCAGTAAAAACCACAGTCAAGCACCTTGCGAGCTGTCCTCTGAATGCCAAGATGACCACCAGATGCAGAAGAATGACAGAATTGCAGGACCGAGTCAATCTCATGGTCCGGCAAGCATCTCCTGATTACCTGATCACTGCAAAACTTCCACAAATAGGGGTCATCCCAAACATAATGTTTAGCATCACTCTTAAGTTTATCAATCTGAGCTCTAGATGCTAAAGGAGGAAAAACAGAAGCAACTAAATAATTGACAATGTTCACAAACCAAGGGGTGGGGGAAGGAACAGAAACTGTTAACTAGTGTTCATAAGGAAAATCATCCTGAATAGGCAAAGTGTCCTCATCCTCAGCTCTCTCAATCCTGCTGAGATGGTCTGCCACCAAATTTTGTGCTCCACTCCTGTCACGGATGTCCAAGTCAAACTCTTGAAGCCAGGAATCCATTTGATCAGCCTAGGCTTTAAGTCAGCCTTCTTCAATTCGGTTTTGACTCAAAAGGCATCAAGTCCGAATGACCTCATTCGGTCTTGACTCCAAAAGGCATCAAGTCCGAATGACCTCATTCGATTTTGACTTAAAAAGCGTCAAGTCCGAACTGACAGGAGTGGAGCACAAAATTTGGTGGCAGACCATCTCAGCAGGATTGAGAGAGCTGAGGATGAGGACACTTTGCCTATTCAGGATGATTTTCCTTATGAACACTAGTTAACAGTTTCTGTTCCTTCCCCCACCCCTTGGTTTGTGAACATTGTCAATTATTTAGTTGCTTCTGTTTTTCCTCCTTTAGCATCTAGAGCTCAGATTGATAAACTTAAGAGTGATGCTAAACATTATGTTTGGGATGACCCCTATTTGTGGAAGTTTTGCAGTGATCAGGTAATCAGGAGATGCTTGCCGGACCATGAGATTGACTCCGTCCTGCAGTTCTGTCATTCTTCTGCATCTGGTGGTCATCTTGGCATTCAGAGGACAGCTCGCAAGGTGCTTGACTGTGGTTTTTACTGGCCCACCATCTTCAAGGATGCGTGGAAGATTTGCAGCACTTGTGAGCAGTGTCAGAGAGCAGGAGGAGCCCTTTCTTGGAGACAGCAGATGCCTCAGCAACCCATGCTATTCTGTGAGGTCTTTGATGTCTGGGGTATAGATTTCATGGGTCCTTTTCCTGTCTCTTTTGGTTTTTCATATATTCTCCTAGCTGTTGATTATGTTTCAAAATGGGTGGAAGCCAAAGCCACCAGAACTAATAATGCTCGGGTTGTTGTGGATTTTGTCAGATCTAACATATTCTGCAGGTTTGGAGTACCTAGAGCTATTGTTAGTGATCAGGGCACCCATTTTTGTAACAGATCCATGCAGGCTTTGCTCAAGAAGTATGGGGTAGTGCA